TTTTTATAATTTTTAAAGTCAAAATTTTTTTTATTATGATTTTTGAACTTTATAAAATCTAGTAAATAAAGTTAATAATAGAAAATAATTTTATTTAGTATAATTTATAGTTTTTACAAAGCCCAATACAAACTTATAATTATAATTATCTAAGAAAGTAATACTTTTTATTTATTGTTTTTTTTTGCTTGTTTTTATTTTTATTTTTTTATTTGTATCTTTTATTGTTATCTTCTATTTCTTTATGTTTTTTCTTCTTTTGATATAGTTTTTTTTATACTTTTCTACAAAAAGATATTATTAAATTAGTGATGTTCTATTGTAAGATAATAATCAGATAAGCTTTCAAATCTTGCAGTTATTTTAACTGACACTTTAGTGCAAACAGATTATATATAGATGCTTTAAGAAGTAACTGTATAATATCAGTACAAAATTTAAGACCTTTATATATATATGAGTTTGGTTAGCTTAATAAAATAAACTGACAAGTGTATAAAAAAAAAAGTAAAAACATTTACAATTTAATATTTTACAAGAAAATTTTTTAGTAAAATATAAAAAATAGTTTTATAATCAAAATTTTAAATTACAAATAATTTTTTTAAAAAAGTATAATTTTTATATTATATCTGATTTTAAATTTTAATTAGTTAGTTATAAACTAATAATACATTGCATTGGTAATAAATAATAATAGTTTTACTATTATTATTTTAATAGTTTATTTAACTAATATTATATAAAACTAAAATTAATATATAATAAAAAAAATATCTATAAATACTATGTTATATAATTTATTACAAAAAAAAATTTATATCTCTTATAAATTATTTTTTTAATTATTCTAGCATATTATTAAAGTATAATAAAAATAGAAAGTCTATTAATAATTTTAAAAATTCATTCTATAATCTTATTATTAAAATTTTCTTGTTTTTAATGCAATATAATTTATTTACTTTTACAAGTTTCTATGTACTGAATTATTATAACATATATTATAACAATTTTGCTTTACATATTATTTATATTATTGTCAACTATATAATAAAAATTATCCACCTTAATAAATCCAACACAATGCATAATTGTTGTTACATCTATAAAATCATAACCTGAAAATTTACAAAAATATTTTAGTCCTACAGAATTTTCTATAACTGATGTTGTTCAATTTATACAAGCCAGCATATAATCTTCATTATTAAATTTGTAAGCAATATAATATAAAATATTTCTATAAAATAATTCTGTTTTAAAAACTAATGCATGTTTTCGATTATTTGCATATATATCTATTTCCATTTGAATCTATATAACAAAATTAATCAATTAATAATTATATTTATTTATTTCTATATTAACAAAATTAAATAATACATACTAATACAGAATAATTTATACATGCCCAATCAGGGTTTCGTGCAATCCAACTAGATCCAATATGATAATCATATTTTGTATGCAAATGGCCAAATTTTTGTACTTGAGTAATAAAAGACTAATATATAAATATATATTATAACAGTTAATTAAGATACAAATATATATGCTAACAATTAATTAAGATAAAAAAAAATACTGTTACTTGATTTGATGTTATGTTATAATTTGTTATATAATGGTTTTTGATTTTTTTAAGTTCTGCATTGTTAAGTGTGTATTGTACCATAGAGTTAAGAAGTTTTTCTTTATATTCTTCTGCTGAAAAACTAAATTGGCTTGAGTTTACTATGTCTTGTACAGATAAGAATATTTTTTGATCGAATTTTTTGTAAAACTTTAAATGATTAAAAAGTTCAATCATATAAATATTATTTATAATATTTTATATGGATGTAATCATGATCTTGTAAGTAGTAGTAACATTTTACAAACACACTCAATCAGAAACTGCCATGTTGCCCAGCAGGGACCATTTTTTGAATACTTAAAGATACATAAAGCATATAGTGTATACACATTTTCATTGAACTAATATGCTCAATCGAATTTTTATAATAATCTCTAATAAATATGAGTAAATAAATATAAATATTAAAAGTTAATAAGTAAATAATATAAATATTAAAAAGTTAATAAGTAAATATAAATATTAAAAAGTTAATAAGTAAATATAAATATTAAAATTAATAAGTAAGTATAAATATTAAAATTAATAAGTAAGTATAAATATTAAAAGTTAATAAATAATGATATAAAATCTTAATATTATCACTCATAATGTGCATAAAATTTTAATAAAAGGTCATTTATGTTATTTAAATCATCTGTTGTTATAATTTTTTTTTGACATAACCATATTGCCTTTACAAAAAGATACCATCTGTTATAGTACTTTAATTGCAATCATTCTTTAAGTAAAGACAATAAGTATATTGTAATTTATGCAGCCCATTCCTTAGCTTTGTATTTACGATGATGTAATATTATATTTCATAAGGGTCTTCCAAAATTTGGTGGCAAATTTTTGCACCATGCATGCATTTGTTTCCTAATATCTAACCAAGTTGACTTAGCCAATACATACAGTTCTCTATTTTGTAATTCATCAGAAAAAAAAGTTTCAGTCCAATGTTCTAACATATACTTGGCAATGTTCTTATAAAATAAATGCATAATATCTATAGCAAAGGAATCAGGAAAATGCATTATTGGCAAATCAAACAGAATGCTATGTTTACTAATTCCTATATAAATAATTAATTAGCATTTATATTATATGAAAAGATTTTGTTTAGGCAGGCAAATATAATTATAGTTTAAACTATTTTAAACTATTTTATAAATTATTTATAAATTAGTAAAACTAGTTTAAATTATAATTATTTTTGCCTATCTATAATAAAGTTTATTCTATATTTTATTTTTAATAACACAACATTACTATATTTAGTAATTAATTCACTTCACTTTTTTTCAGATTTTGCTTCACAGATTTTCTTAAACCTTTCTTTCCATTCTTCATATGTTCTATTTGGTAGATTAGCTGGACAATATCTTTCTGAATTAAAATTTGGAGGTAGAGTTGTAGGATAATAGATATAGTTTGTGTGAACTCCTCTCAAATTACAATATCGACACCCTTTATAACTATTATGTCCAGTTATACCTATTAATTTCATCAACCCTGGAGTATCACCTGACCAATTAACTATAACAGCACAAAAGATAAAATATTCTTCTTTAAACGCATCATAACAATTTATACCCTCTATTAATAAACCAACATTTAGTAATAAATAAAATAAAGTTTAATATATAGTTAATATAAATAAATTTTAATAAATAATTTAATAATAAGGTAGTTGTAGAAGTTACATGAACCAAAATTGGCAAATTTTATTGCTTAGCATCAACTACATTTGCTAATTTTGGTTCACGTAACTTCTACAAATACCCTACTCTTAATCTAAATAAATTGTTAATAAATAATTTAATATAAATGCAATTTAATATAAATAAATTTATAATAAATAATTTAATATAAAAATATTTACTTTTCAACTTTTGTAATTCTTTGATCATAGGAAAAAGATAAGTATTAAGATCTTTTGGCTCTTTTGGCTCTTTTGGCTCAGATATAATTATACTAATTAAAAAATTTTCTTTTTTAACCCAATTTTCAGGAGCCAAATTTGTGTTAATTACCAATACTATCTAACAGTCATTAGCCTTTTGTCTAAATATTTGATAACTATCAACTAAAGCTACTAATGCCACATTTCGTTCATCTTGAAAGTACTCACATTGTACTAACTCTTTATAATGAATACCATCAAAAATGTCATCTATTTGATTAGCATATTTATATAATCTTTGTAATACATAATTAGCTTTGTATCTCAACTTTACTGCATGATTGGAATCTCTGTATTGAATAGTAAGATGCTGTAAAGTGAAAAATATGCAAACTGCTAACATGATTTTTTAATTTTTTTGTGATAATAATACTGATCTGACTTACAAACTGAACACTTTAATAATTTTTGGTAGTTTCCAGTATATGCACAACATGAGTTAAAACACATATCTATCCATAGAGGTTTAATGTCCACAATTAATTTCAATGTTTTTTTGATAATATGCAA